GTGTACTGTGTAGATATAAACACTGCTGAGCAAAGGTTTTTGATTAAACTAGTGTTTAAACATGGGTTCTTTTTGTTCTCCACCCTTAGTTGGCAAGATATGTTAACATGGGTAAGATGTGTTGAATATGGTTTTGCACTTTGAGGTATATATGACTAGGCTATATTTTTAAGAAAGCTTTAACAAATTCTATTGCAAGTATCTATTATTTTCAGTTCTTGCTTTAGATTTCATGCTGATACTAGCATAGACAAGCCCTTGATTGTCTCTGTAGTATTCACTGACTTTTCTCTCTTTCTAAACAAGTGTTTCTGAAAATAATAGGGCACTTCATTATTTGTTGCTTCCAAGCCAAATAATAGACCTCTGTAGTTGGCTGTGTGATCTCTGCCAAATACTTACATTACTTCTAATTGCGCTGTGTTTATTTGGGAGAGGATCTGGTCCTTTATCAGAAGATTCTTCCTGCCTGCTTGCCTTGCTATTGCTGTGATCATTTTTTGTTGGCTTTATCTTTTATGACTTCGTTAATATGTTTCCTTATGGATATAATTTCATGAGATGAGCTTGGGTCATGTGTCAGTCTTAAAGACTGTGAAGATATACGTGCCCTAGTTTCCTGCTAAAATAAGGAGGAACCTACTCTTCGTGTGTGTGATTTTTTTGATGTCATTGGTATTCCTTTGAAACCATGCTTCTTTGAAAATTTTGTACTTCTTTATGTTATGTATACCCTTTCAATTTAGAGACTAGACATTTCATCTTCAAATTTCATGCATTTGTTTATTCTTTGTGAAGGCTGATCTGCTGCCTCAAGCTCATTAAGCCATTCTCTTTTATTTTTGCATGGATCTTACATGAACAAGAGAAACTTCCTTCAGTAAGAGAAATATGAATATCGTATTTCTTTTTAAGAGCGAGACCTCATAATTTGAAAGGGACTTGGACAAAAACAACATCGGAAAATAGACACAGAAGAATTTGAAAGCAGTTGCATCTGATTTTTCTTTCTTTTCATCTCTCACGGGTAGGACTCACTAGAAAGCCTGGCAAAGGGCTCCATTTCGTATTTACTGAGTGGTGTGCCTTACGTGTACAGCCTCCAGAGCCTTTATATTTATTTCATGAACATTTTGTCATTTATAAGCGGTATTATCTCTCAGCTTTGTAGGCTGATATTTGATATGACAGTATTGAATGAAACCTGCAAAAGTCGTTGGGAAAAGTGGGGGCAAAAGAGAGTTTAAAGAGGCTAAGGTGAGAACCCTGACACTCAGAAATGTAGATCTCCTCGTTTCTGAACCAGGGAATTGCTGCATGTTTCCGTATCAGAAAGAAATTTCTTCAGCATTGCTAATTTCTGTGTAAATAGAGTTTTATAAATTAAGAACCCATAAAATTCCAACCCCCGCATACTTTATGCAGTGAAATGTAATTCTTTGTGTTATTACTCTTCTAACCTCTTTGGGGAATCTTGCCTATGACTACTGCTTATTGTTGTAATAGTTTCACTTAAGCACAGCAGAAGAACCATGTGGTATAGCAATATTACTATCTCTCAGGGCATTTTATTGTAGTAGTTGAGTTGTGGAAGCTGTAGGGGAATTAAACTACTAATTTTAGTTTAGGTAACATAAAGAAGATAGAGGATAAATAAAGCAAGCATCAATATTTTAAAAGAGGTATTGTTCTAGGTTAATAAAAGCAATAAACATTTAACTCCTGCTTCTGAAATTGGCATGTGTACAGAGCATGAGAGAAAAATTTGCTAATGTTTTCATTCTTGCTGTCCAACAGTTTCATTTGGAATGAACACTTTCTGTTCTGGGCACATAAAATAATTGTGGAATAACTGAGATTTGTGAAGAAAGGTATAATGCAATATAGTCTGGAAGAAATGAGTGTCAAGCTTGTCTGGATATAATTCTGGAAAACTAATAGATCTCATAAAAATATCAAGCTGATATACTTAGAAGCATTTTCCTTTTGGATCTCCTTTTAGGTAACAAATTAGCTGAAGGTTGTTAAAACGTGGTGGTTTTCCTTAGTGCCAGGAACTAAGGAAACTAATCCAGGAGCTGGTTGGTACTGTGCACTCTTACAGATTGACTTCTGTCACTTTCTTCTGCAAAAGCAAATCACAAGTCATTGGCAAGAGCAAGGAGCTGATGATCCCAGTCTTAGGTACTTTAAGTATTTAGGCTGCAGAAGAAACAATGATTTATAATGTGAATAATCATTTTACTGAAGTAGTTGTTTGGTTGAATGAATGCTCTTTTGTGTTCGGTCATCGAAGTCTTGGAACCTGGAATTACAAAAGGTTGCCTAAAGGTTTCAGGGCAGGATACGTATTTTGGACTATTCCTGATGCTTTGTGTCATCATGCTCCTTCTTTTATTCCTGGGTCTTTTGACTCTCATTGAACAAGTTTCTAAAAGTAATCACTTAATATTTCAGAAATTGCTTTGACTAATTTCTGAGCTGTTCAAGGTGAATTTCATTAGACACTATTGTCCTGAATGCTTGTAACTTTTCAGAGTTGTCTATAACCCATTCTAACATGTTTCTCTCTTTTCTACCACCTTCAAGTGAAAACACAGAATATGCTGACTATCTATATCAGTCATTGCTTTCTTTCCTCTCCTGTTACATCGTGGCTCTCTCTCGGCTCCTGCTTGTTCCTAATACATATGTAGGATTTTTTTTTTTATGCCTGTAAGCTGGAATGCATTTTCTACCTTAGTCTTTTTTAACTTACTATTTCATATTTGTGCTATTCTGTCATCCTGATATTATGCTACTTTTTTCTGCATCTGCTTTTGTGCCTTTAATTTGTTATCTTGACAGGTTTGGGTCATTCTTTTACTTCTTCGCCATTCAGTTTCTTGCATTCATGGTAACTTTCTAGACCTGATCTGATTTCCTCAGAGGAAGTTATAACACACTCTTTTCAATTCTGTCCAGATTGTCTGTGTTAGTAAAGACTCGGTCCTCCCAGTTGATCAGAAACAAAATAATACCTTTTCTTCACTTCCTGAAACAAAACATGACGCTGACTAGTCTTGGGATTTTTAAACTAATGACCTGTCTATCTGTTGAAAGAGCAATGTATCAGGTTACAGTCATCCCTTTATAGTCCTATCACATGCCTTTACCAGCCAGCCCATGTCTTTCCAATTGCTCTGCCATACAGTCTCTACCTTTTTTTCTCTTTTGTTTGAATGACTTGACACGGCTTCCGTTTTTCTTCTCTTTGATTTTCACGCTACACGTTCAACAAATCTGAACTTTGGAATGAGGCGGAGTGCATCACATGTATCACACTTTTGGAACAGGTTTTCCATTTTAAAGGAGCATTCCTGTCTCTTTTATGTCACTGCATGTTTACAGTGCCAGATACGATGCCAAATCTCATATGGGGTGTGTAGAAAGACTTGCATTCTTCCTGTTTTAAAAAAACCAGCAGGTGCAATGGGATCAAAGATCCATGCAGTCCAGGAGCTTGTCTAAGGGAAGAATAACAGATGCCTAAAGGAAGAACAGATCAAGTAGATGGTAATGCTTCCCTAATAGACTTTTCCAGCTTTCCATAAAGAAGTCCATGACTTATTTATTATGTATGACTGTAGCTTATATTCATGGCTGTTTGGTAGGTAGGCCAGTGTTCTTCCCTATGGTTTTTCTTATAACAATTAGAGTTTCCATTCTAATCTCATTTTTTTTTAAATAACTTTTTTATCTTACATTTTCATTAGGCCTCCTTTAGCTGATAGATTAGTAGTTTCTTCCTAGTTTATTTAGAAACAAAAGAAAATCCTGTTAGGAAATGTCTTCTACTTTCTGTGGTGATGAGAAACTAATATTGACCTTCCCCCCCGCCCCCCCCCAGCCTGTCTAAAAAAAGATAACTGTAGAGTTGCACTGTTCCTGCCAAGTTTCCACAAGAAGCAGGTTATTACTAAGGAACTGTAAACTGTTGAAAAAAAAACATTTGTAATGGAAACACTGATGGTTTAACTGTAATGCTTGCAGGGACTTTCAAACAGCATAGCTTTTCCATCTCCTGACTTTCAGACTTCCCGAGTACCCATACCTTGTTGCTATGTTGCTTTAGTCATCACTCTATATATATATATACTGGCTTCAGGAACACCGTTGTCCATACTACAAATGTGTTGTTTAAGGTGGTTCAATGGAGTGTTGTTTCTAGCCTGATACACAAAACAAACGTAAACCTAAATCTGTGGCTTCCTTTTTGGTTTTGGTGGCATATGCTTCTCCGTGGCATCCAAGTTATGACTGGTGTAGAACACAGTTAAAGAAAAGCTACACTGTTTTCACTAGAGGAGCAATAAAAATGTCTTGATTTAAGTGAATGGTAGTACATATAAATAGATGCAATTTGAAATCTGTCCAACTTTATAAATTGCTTGAATATTTTCAGGTCCCACATCTACGCTATTTCCTGTTGTTTTCTTGCATTAGTCATTTTTCCATGTTTCCTTTCTCTCCTCAGTTGTGGGAAAAAGGAGGAAACAAGAAAGCTGTCAGAGAATGTGAATGAAGAGAGGTGATCAGCTTTCTGTAGTTTGTTCCTGCATAGAAATGAGTTTTATAGAGGAGTATGGCCCTTTAATTTTAGTGCTAGTCCCCAGCTGCAGGCATTCCATAGTGTTCGGTGCTCTCTTAGAGTTGTTGAACACCATCATCTGTCCAAGCTCAAGTGAGCAATCATTTCCCCAGCTTTTTGATCGTTAGCTTTGCAACAGCTTTGACGTCTTAAAAATGACACTACTAAAAATCTTTGTCACCCGTGTTAAGTAAATGCCTTCTGAACACCTATACGTTGCAGTACTAGGAATTGTTGTCACCTAACGTTTTGTTTTCAGTAACTATTTCTAAAGCTTGTTTTATTAGGAATATGTGTAGCAGTTTACTTCTGTATACGTTCCACAACATGCATCTAAAATTCTTGTGTTTCTCATTTCAGAAGTACTATGGAACCTCCGCAGCCCTGTAGGTTTGGAAGGCTTAAATCCAAGTTTGGAAAGGCTTTTTCCATTCCAAATGATTTGCTGGCTTAAGCGCTTAATTAGGATGGCTTTTGAACAAGTTGGATTAAACATGGAATCAGTAAGTGTTTCAAACTTGCTTCATGTTTTCAGAAAATCAGGTACAGAAAGCACTTCATATATTTTAGTTTGTGCTTATCTATTCCAGCAGAACACTTCAAGTATACTCAGTACTTGTATGATTCTGCATTGCTGGAAAAGTATGAAGTTTACTACTTGGATGCTGAAATATTGAGTAATATATGTGTTAAAAATACCATGCAGTTCCTTCTAGCTCTAATGACAAACTGTTTACATTGTAAACACTGCTTTTTTTTTGCTGGATTTGTTATGTGTGTTTTGAAGCTGAAGGAAGATTTTCAACTGGTTTTTAACAGTGATATTAATTCCTAAATAATCTGATTTTTTTGCTCTTATTTTGGAGTAATGAAAAGCCCCATGAAACTGAGATGATAGTAATTGTGCTATATTTACCTCTCCTGAAAGTGTTACAGTACATGAGAGCCACACAGCTGTGTTCTTTACTGGGGAAGCAGAGGAATGTGCATGCTTAGCTCTCCCCTTGGAGGAAAGTGTATATAGAGTTTTCTTTGAATGCTTTGGGGGGGCGGGGAGAGAGAGATATCTGTTACACATACACTACTTTGTCACTGGGACCTTTAGGAAGCTATTTTGAGTAGAAGTATTGACCTCAATGCACTAATCCCTGTAAGTTGTCGAAATGTTTTAATGTTCTAACAGTGGGGAAATCCTTAACAGCTATGTGCAGTACTTAGAAGGGCAGTTCTTACTCTGGATTATTGTGGTAGAACCTTTTATCAATCTTGGGAATTTATGGAAAGCAAATTGTTTATACATTGTAAATTAAAATTACCAATACGATTCTGTATTTTAGGATTTTATTCGAACTTGAATCTGAGATTTCATGCACTGTAACTTTGAAAATTCAGAGTATGAGAATATGGTGGACTACCACGAGTGTTGCTGTGGTCATTGTCAGCAACATCTTTCATCCTAAATAGGAGGGTGGAAACAAATTTTTAATCTGTTTTCCCCCCATTCTCTACTTGTATCAAGCCTGCGATAATGCAATTACATTTCCAAATGTCAGCTGTTCTGGACAACAGCAAAACACTGATGCAATAAGAGGGTATGACTAAGTAATATTTTGCAGACTTGTTCTGCCAGTGCTTCAAGTCAATAAGAAGTTGTGTGAACTTGGGTAGAGCAGTGCTGAGACTTAGTAGCTCAGCTGAGCAGTGTGCTGACTTTATTTGCATACCTTGTGGCACAGCTTGCATGCAGCTTTCTGAAAATATTGTCCAGACATATCTGGAATTACCAAAACTGAGTCATTAAAAGTTTTGGTGCACCAAACCACTGTTGTTGAACAACCCCAAAGGCATTTGGGCACCAAATATTTTTGAGGATCTGTGTGCTAGTCAACATCTCGTCTGTGGTCTGAGCAATCTCTAAACAAGTTTTGCCACTTGTTTAAAATGCACTGCACTTATGTTGGTAATACAGCATGTAGTCTAGGCTCTTTTGCTGTTGTGGAAGTACTCCTGTAATTAATTAAGCCTTCCCTTGACTATTAGTATTTTTTCCAATGGAAAACCACTTTGAGACTATCGCCAACAGTTCTGCTTCTAACATTAGAAGCTGTTGTGAATAGGAAGGCTGTATTACTGTGGTACTGTTTGTCAGCGATTTTTCTTGAAGGCTTCTGATCTACCTGCTATTTGCTCAGACATATAGGCAAACAGTAATGTGATAGTCAGGAATGTGAGGTCTTTGTTTGAGGCATGCAAAATGCAGGATCAGTCGAGTACTCTGCATTGAAAAAAATTGTGTTCAAACTTAGCAGCATATTAAGCAAGAGGATGTATGTTTCATAGAATGGAAAAAATCTGAGTGGATTAATGGCAGAGTTGTAGCTCTGATGTGAGGATCTAGCATAGCGTATAGAATCATAGAATCGCTTAGGTTGGAAAAGACCCTTAAGATCATCAAGTCCAACCGTTAACTTAACACTGCCAAGTCCACCACTAAACCATGTCCCGACGAACCACATCTACATGGCTTTTAAATGCCTCCAGGGATGGGGACTCAACCACTTCCCTGGGCAGCCTGTTCCAGTGCCTGACTGCCCTTTCAGTGAAGAAGTTTTTCCTAATATCCAACCTAAACCTGCCCGGGCGCAGCTTGAGGCCGTTTCCTCTCGTTCTAGATGTGCAGTGCACCTTTATTTTGTCAAAACTGGTATGTTCTGATAAAGTCAGAGGAAGGAAAGATACTTATTTAGAAATAGGCAAAATGTTTGTGTGGTTTCTGAGATAATATAATCTGGTGATAAATACCATGAAGCATAAATTTTTCTTTTTAATAGAACCTTCAAAATCTAAGAGTAGTGATCTTTGCTTAGTATATCAAAATGTTACTCAGCTGTGTGTTGTGAAACTCCCACAGCTGCACTACACTAATCACGCAGACAATATTGCCATGCCAGATGAGGGTTGTTTCAGTAGTAATAGCCTGGATTCTATCTGTTTTCTTTGTTGGGAAACCTTCTAACAGGACTTTGAGTTTCCTTGAAACTATGAGCCTTTAAAAACTAAGATTTGGGTAGTAAATTCATATCTACATCTATACGTAAACACTGGCCAAGTTTTTTAAAATACCATCCAGTGTTCTGGTTTTTTACTGACAATGTTCTCTGTTAGAGTCTTCCTATTATTCTTTTTCTTCTTTGCATTGTTTTTGTTGCCTTTCCCTGTGCTGAAATCTTTCCTGCTTCTCTCTGTTTTTTTTTGTTTTGTTTTCTTCTGTTCTGGCTCGTTTTGTAGTATTCTCCTAAAATTAAAGTCTCATTTTATTTCATACAACTATGGTAAATAGTAGAGCAAACATTCCCATCATTAAGTACAACAAAAGAAAGCGAATTCAATCCCTGCTGAAACAATGTAGAAGAAATCTGAATTGTAGTAGAAACAGTTCTGATGAAGCCAGGTGTGTTGAGGTGCTGTGTGCAATTTTATCTAGGCGAATGTATTTTTTTTTTTTTTTTTAGGACAAAGGTTCATTCTCATATATTTATTTTCCCCCTTTTCTTTGCTTTTTAATTTCACAGTTATGTTTTCATGCTTATGCTAGCTGGTAGTTATTAAGACTGGTGGACACTGTTCCTGTGTTAGATGAACTCTTAATTAAAAGAAGAAAAAAGATATTTTGGGAAATGTAAAATTACATAACTCTCTGGATTTTTCATGATGGAGTGGCTTTTCTTGAAACCCCTTAAAAAGAGGTGTCTGACCCAATGCAGATTCTTTATTATCTTGAAAATGGACAAATTGTGCTTTTGAAGATGCTTCCAGCCCTTGAATCTTTCTGTGTTACCTGATTTATTGCTTCGAACTTAAACTTAATGTAAAGGCTGTCTTGAATTTAAACAATCATATCTATATTGTATTGACAAAACCAAATTTTGTGCCAATTCAGGTATAGTATGAAAGGACTTCACTGATACAAATTTCAGTGTATTTATATTCTATTCTATTCTAGCATGAAAGGAAGAACTTTAAATATGTTTAGCACACAGATAAGGGAAAGATAAAGGAAAACTATTCCTATATGATATAAAAATCAGTTACCTGACAGCTGGCTTCTTTTTCCTTCCCATCTAGGTGCTTTGGTCAAGCAAGCCTTATGGTTCATCTCGAAGTATTGTAAGAAAAATTGGTACTAACCTCTCTCTTATACAGTGTCCAAGAGTTCAGTTTCAGGTAAGTGTTCTTAACGTTTTAGAATACGCGTTTCACTATACTGATAAAGGGATTTGCTCTTGCATCAAAAGATTTTAAGCAAATATGCGGTTCATTTAAATAAATGACTAGAGAGTTTGTAAAAGCAGAATATGATAAACCTGGGCACATAGGAGAATTAGTTTACTTCAGTTATTCCCAATTCCAGTTCAGATTTTTTCCGAATGTGAATTCTTCAGCTTCTTTTCTGCCTAAAACCTAAATCCATGTTGCTATAACACACATAATGAAACTTGAAACAGATTTTTTCGTAAGGAAATTGGAACTTCTAAAATGAGGCAATACAATATTAACAAGTTATTCTTGGGGAAAAATACGTTCATAAAAGAGAAAAAGCTTTGAAACTTCTTTCTATAAACAGTACTTATAAGCTAGGCTTAAGAGGCATGTAAAGATGAACAGTTACTTAAAAATATTTGGGAAAATACGCAACTTTATTAGAAAGTAAAAAAATTAATAACAAGATAACATGAGTACCCTGCTTGCTTTTGTTTTAAATACAAGGCTAACACTGTATAGGTGAAAGGGGAACATCAGTTCTGTGCAGCTTTCTAACTTGTTTGCTTTTAACTTCAACTGCCTATAGTGGGAGGGTAAAGAGTGAGGGTAAAAGCTTAAGGAGGAGAAAACGCATGCTTTTTATAACAACTCTTTCAGGAACAGATGGGAAAATGGAAGCTGTTACACATAATCTCTTCAACTCTGTGTGTTAGGGGTAGGGGGTGGGTATAGAATTGGAGAAATCTAGTGTTTGAAGCTCAAGCTGAGAGAGGAATGTTTCTTGGGCCGAGCAAGGGTGGGGAACACAAAGATGAATGGTGGGAATCATCACCCACACTAAGACAAGGTAATTTCCACACAGCTAAATTTTTCACTGTTTATATTAATTTCTTTATCCTATATGAAATGTATGGACAGTATTTAGGCTTGAAATTATAGTAGCAAAATCAGATAGTTCAGATTACCATAGAAGCCTTTTTGGTGTGATATTAAAAGCCATGCTAACATTTTGCCTTTCTTAAATATTGAGAAACCAGGGGTGCAACCATCTCCCCCTACTAGTGGCTTGGTGAAACTTAAAAAATAAATATGTACACTGTGGGGGTGGGGTTTTGTGCAGGTGAGGAGGACAACAAAATGACATACTGGATTTAAACTTTTGGATATATAATTAATAGTAGTTAGGCCAGCAATAAGGCTCCATGTGTCTCAGATTTGAAAGGAAGTGAAGTCTTCTTATAACGTGTCTGATATTCTGTACTGTAAAGGCCATACAAGGGAAGATGATGCTCATTTGCAGATAGTTAGCCAAATACTGCCTTCTCGTAATATGGTTCATAAAAGAAAACATTTCTGTTTTATGTACTTGAAAAGAGCTGTAAGATACATCTGGGAAATCTGTTCCTGAATATTTTTAGTGGTGAAATAAAAATATGTGTATGTCTTCGTCTGAATTCTGTGTTAGAATAAATAAAATATTTGCCTTTTTTCCTCTTAAAGAAACATTCAGACAGCTTTGCTTAGATTTTATGCACACTAAGTATAAAAATTCATCTTCTATTAGATGAAAAGAAAGGATTGTAAAAATAGAAGTACAATTGTCAGTTGATTGAATCAGAAATATGAATTTCATAATTTGAGCCTTGAAACACATTAAAATTTATATGGTTTATGCAGGCTTTAAGCTATTTTAATATATAAACTGCTGAACATGTAAAAGTGTGATGCTAACTTCTGTTTTTTATGTCTCTATCTCAGCGTTAAGATTCTATAGTGAAGTTCAATACTGGTCTCAATCGTTTTTATGCTGTTGCAACTGACGCTTTCCTATAGCTGTCTTTTCCTCTTTCTTTCTTGCCAGCTTTAGCTATATTATGAAAGGACCATGCACTGAACCTTGCTGTAAGTCACTTTATTTAAAACCCAAAGCAAACCTTACTTGCCTCATCTGAGGGTGCATGTATACCATCACTGTTTCTAACTTTATCTAAGAGCAATAAACTTTCCACAGGTCTTAATTTTCCTTACAATAAAGGGATAAGAGATATTGAAAGAATATTCCTGTTGTGTTCATTCTTCTCTTCTAGCATGCTTTTGTTCAGCTAGTGTGAAAAAAACAGTAGCCTAGCATTTTGATTTTTGAGGTCTACTGACTGTTGTAGTATCTGTCTCTATGGGTCTTGCCATAGTCAACATTTAAATTAATTGCTAAATGCTGCTTATATATTCAGTAAGCGGTGACAGAGCTTACCTTATATACTCTATATGGCATGAACAAATGAAAATGGTTGATATAGTTCTTTTGTATGTCATATTTTTTAGGTTTATCTGTAGTCTTTAGGAGAAAATAAAGTTAAACTTACCTATATAGCCTAGGTAGATTCAACCAAACTTACAATACTGTCTCTCAAGATAGTATCCTCCAGCTACAGCATCTCTGTTCTAGTCCCATGCTTCTCCTGTTTGTCTGATGGAAACCTGATAACTCAGTAGAAGTCTCCTAAGGAATTGCTGTGCACATAGCAAACATCAAAGTTTACTGGGCTAATTTGAAAAATCATAGCAAGTTTGTCTTACTTGAAGAAGTATTTCCAAATGTTTAATACCTAACTGTGTTAATAATTTGAAATTAGAGTTTTTATTCTATCCTTAAATGTATAAAAATATTTGTTCTGCTTTCCACTTCCTGGAGCAAACAAAAAGCAGGGATCCTGCTTTGACATCCTCTTAAGCAGCGTTTCTGTAGTGTAGTGGTTATCACGTTCACCTAGCATGCGAAAGGTCTCCAGTTTAAAACCCTGTGGAAACACTAGCAGGGCTGACTCTTTGGGAGTTGGACTCGATGATTCTTATGGGTCCCTTCCAACTCAAGATATTCTATGATTCTGTGACATCGTCCAAAATGGTACAGTGTGCGTAGTCTTTTCTTCAGAAATCCGTGGAGCAATGGGTCTGAAACCCACAGGCATGCATGTGTGTGCGCAGCATACGTGCACGCTAAAATAGGCAAAAAAAGCCTGTGAAGGAGGAAGCGGGGGAAGCAACTACATAGTTTCCAGAGAAAGAAAAGCAGGCGACTTTCAGTGTTTCATTTAGTTCAGTAGAACTGGGCATCTGTTTTCAGCTCTCTGTTCTACATTTCAGGTGCTGGCAGAGCAGTTGTCCAAGTTGTCTTTAGCTGAGATTGGCTGGAGGAATAGGGTAGTCACAGAGCTGTTTAAGCGTCATTCTACAGTCAGGCGAAGGTTTTAACAGATGGGGGTTGGCTTTTAACCTTTAAATTAAAGTAAAAATCCTGCATTAACTTGAAATTTGAAATCCACTGCTGTGGAAGGCCTTGTTGTTTTTAGGCATAGAGAAAAGAAACATCTGTATATGGGGTAACAAGCAGATTCTGTTTACATATAAATACGAATAAAAAAGTAGGAAGAAACTTGCATCACAATATAACAGAAGGCTTGCTACTAAATGTTGGATTAGAAGTTATTTATCTCACAATGCAGGAAACCTGGCAGTGGTAAATGCATTCCTTACTGTTGATTTTATAAAATTATTTTTGATGCAAATATGTGTAGTGCCTTCAGTCTTTTTTGTGGTAATAGCTCCTCATATGGCCATTACCATCAGGAAAATCTGTATCACCTGCAAGAAGTGGCTAATGTGTTATGGATTTTTTAAATTTCCATTAACATTAATACAGATGCCGTGGTCATGAAAATTTCTTTTTATTTTAAAAAAGAAAAAAGCCAAGGAAACTTCAAACAATGTAAATCCTAACATGCAATATAGTATTCTCTAGACTGTTTTAAGGAGAGGCAGACTGTGATGGTATTAGGCACAACTGTTAATGTGATAAACATATTACCATCTGTGCTGATGCTACCTGGAAAAAACCCTGTTGTTTCCAAATGATCTGATGGTGCCAATACACACTCCTGGGAGCTGTGATAAAGGCTCACACACAAGTTGCGAGAGTGTGAGGTGAAGATGACTAATCTCGATTTCCAAAGCTGTTTGTAACAACTCCCGGGGAAAAAACAACCCCAAACCCACAACTTTTATCTTCTTGGGATTTCTGTATCAAAGACTACAACTAAAATATCTGTGGATGTTCTTCAGAAATGGTTTCACCTCATCCAACCTGCAGTCCTACTGTGATAGATCTGCTACAAATTCAGGTTAATGCTAACATTTCATAGTTGCTCCTACATAATAGTTTCCTCTTACAGAGGTGAGTTGCCTTGAAAATTGACTGAAGTGCTAACAGACTGGATCAAAGCTGTCTTCATAGACCGTTACGTACTAGCACCATCTTTGTCAGTATTACTAGCTTCTTGGCCACTACCAGCAGCAGGCAGCACTGACACAGCTGCAATGGCTCGTGTGCAAATTTGGCCAGTGGATTGTGTGTAATACAAGCAAAAGAGGTGGCATAGTTGCATTGGAGATAAGTAACTCAAGGTGACAGACTAAGCAGAATAAATTACTGAAAGATGTTTCAGTAGCTTTTATCTGCTACGATACTGAGACCAGGCTGCTCACTAGTCCAGTGACTGAGTAGACATGCCCTTGTCTAACCTGGGGAAGCAGCCAGTATTTCAAAGTCGATTTGGAACTATTTTGTATAGTTGTGGCTTTGGAGCATATATTGATGGTCCAAACAATTTTTCAAATCTTCATTCAGGTCACTTAACTGTAAATCTAAGAAAGGTTCCAGTCTCTGGAGCCTTGCTCACCTTTGGCTTCGAACAGCTACACAGCTAATGGCAGAACCATGTTGGAAAATGGCCAATTTGTTTTATGTGCTGTGAATGAGATTGTTAGCAAATAGCGTATTCCATTATGATTGCATCCTACCCCTCACTCAAAGTCTTTGTGATTACTGAGCTAGTAGAAATGGCGCTTTTTTTTTTTTTTTTTTTTTTCCCCCCCCTGTGTAATGTACACACCTTTATTCTTGTACAGAAATTCCGGAAGTTGTAGGGGAAGGGAAACAGACTTCAACAGAATTTCACTTTCAAAATAATACTAAATCAGAGCAAAAGACTTAAGAAGTACTAATAGCCTTAATGTCTTTATTAACTACCAGTCATGAATATAATTTAAAAAGATATTGTTTGAGTTAATACAGCAAACTATATTTGAGAATGTTGGTGTGTGGTCGTCTTTAAGGTAACAATTTGCATTGGATTTTTAGTGTTCAGTAGTGTCATGTGATAGTATATGTAGTTAGCCGTGAACCTTAAAAATAAAAATAGTTTCTGTAAAGTGTTCGGCAGACTAGATTGAATAGTTCGAAATCAGTGAAATGGTTCTGGACCAAGCCCAGGACAGAAATAAGTGTGCTAAGTCTACAGATGTGTTTTGTGCATGTATGTGTTAATAGTTACATGTAGCCTCACTAAAAGTATTGGGTAAAATAACTGTGACATGGGCTGGGAATAGTGACTCTAAAACCTTCTGTCTTGTCTTTAAAATTTAGCTTACTTCTCATGCCACAGAAGGAAACCATCCTAATCAAATTAGAGAAGATGCAGTTGCCTCCTTTGCGGATGTGGGATGGGTTGCTCAAGAAGAAGGTGAAGTCTCTACAAGGCTCAGGTATGCTCCTCAAATCTTCTCTTTGAACTTCGGAACTGAGAAGAAGAAGCCTAGCTTCTCTCTAATGAGAATCTACTGTGCATTGCAATTAATGGAGAGGATTTGAATGCTGGGAGAAGAGAGAGGGAAGAGGGATTGAAAAGGTAGGGTCTGGAAAAGCAGTAGTAGAGGTTAGACTACCAGGATTATAAATGAAAGACTGGTTTGAGAACATACAGGAGATTGGTGTTACACAAGGAAGACTGTGCTTTTAATTTACTTATTTATTGCAAAGAATTGCATGTGACAGCTTCAAGCCACCTTGTCCCCACAAAAATGTCTGCTGTGGTATGGCACAATTGCTAACACTGATTCTTCTCCAATTCTCCTGATATTTTTATTAATACGGGGCAGTGTCCTACAGCTTCCTAATTAGCAGCAGTGGTCATTCTGACAATCCAATAACTGGCACATTGTTTTTTTCACCTTTCTGGTTAAGGCTCTGCAGTCTGCTAAAGACAATTAAAAAATTATGGTTTATAATTTGTCTTTAATCTTCATAACGAAAACTGGCAGGGAAGCGTGTGAGCACCTGTGTCCAGAATGACAGGATAGGTACTGGTGTGTTGGACCAAGAGCACTACATTGCAGTGTAACTGCACAAAACAGGTTGGCTGAAGTGGTGAAGTTCTCTATTCCAGCCTACCCAAATTGCTGCTCAGACTAGCCAGAAACAAAGGCACAGTTCTGTAGTGCAGAGGAAGTTTTTCTTCAAAACAAACTAACCTTCCAGAGAAAGGCACAGATTGTTGGCTTCAAAGATTACTGGAGGATACCGTTCTTAATTTGAAAGCACGAAATAGGTTAGTAATGACCTAGATGCCCTCCAACATGACTTGCCGCAGTGAAGCTTTGCATAACAAACATTCTGGCACTGACACATTAATTTCACAAACTCAGAGGAGAGTCACAGAAATCAACGCTTGTTTGGGAAATGCTATTTGTGAAGTGTATTTGATGCAAAGGAAATTAACTAGCCAATACTACTTTTGCTAGCACAGAAACATTTCATTTAAAGATTGAGCTGTAAAGCTACTACGTTTAATGGAGACAACAGAGAGAATAGCTCTTTGTTGCTTCAAAGAACCTGTTACGAAAGATGTAGGACTTGCCTATTTGCTGAGACGTCTGCATGGGAAGGGGGGAAGGGGGACAGATGGATATGGGATGGGACTAAAATAATCCTGCAGATATATAGTGACCTTAAGGCAAACAGCTTATAATGGAGCATGGTAAGTGAATTACTTAGCAAATACGAGTGTTTCAATGTGCGCTGTTTATTACGTCTATGCACAGTATTATGTAGCGGAGCTAGGGTGCATTAGGTGTTTTCCAGGCATTTGAAATTCCCTGTTTTGACAAGATCACATAGGTGTTCCTCTTAAATATATATTCACTGTATAATTCAGTAAACAGTCTTGCAGACATAATTTTTTCTGCGAATGCAGTTTTATAGAGGAAGCAATGAGAAATCATTTTTCCCCTACCCCTCGCCAGAGCAGTAGTGACAATTCAGGCATAATATTTTTCCATGGTGTTAGATTCCAATCAAGACATTTGCTTAAAACACCATTACTGCTCTGAGCTGAAAATACCCATTGTTGTTTAGCTATTCTGCCCCATTAAAGAGTTTCTAGAAGGCAGGTTTTAGAGTGAAGTGACCACCGGCTTCTTCCACCTTACTTATTTAGGGAGAGCAGGGAGATGGCTGCTATAGGAAGCATCCTATTCTCAGCTTTAGTTGCTCTCCATTCCTGTCTAGATAACAGCACCTAAATTTTAACATCCTTGATAATATTCAGTTCTGCTTGATCAAAATTTGCAAGTTGTGCTGCTGTTTTCTGTTAGTGTCGTGGAAGACTCAAATGTGGATCTAATTGTGGACTGAGGTGGTCAGAGCACAGGTTCTAGCCTTAAATCTTGGCTCTTGCTTTAAGTCTAGCACAACTGCAGATGCGCATCCAGAGTAGCTTAACCCCTGCATCCACGGCGATGAGGCTTTCAAGCTGCATTAGCCTGGACCTGTTCTACACCTTGTGAAAAGTCACATCACTAGCCACCGTTCTTACTCTCATGTTTGAATAAATTGTGGAATCCTGACCTGCCTGAGACGTTTTGGTATTGAAGTTAAGGAGGATTGAGGAGCTAAGTATGTGGTCGTATTTTGCAGTTATAATGTTTATGATAGCCAATTGTCATTAATCCTTATCAATTCTGCTTGAGATAAACTGTTTAAAAATGTTGGTGTCTTCAGTGACTATAACCTTTTGTAAGTGCTTATTTGACTGCAGATGCTCAGTAATGCCCGTGTTTAACGTAGCTTGAGCTTTGGTGGGTAATAAAGGCAGGCAACAGAGTTGCATTTTCTTGCTCTTGTGAGAAAGAGGAAGGAAGCTTACGGACTCTTTAAAAACTGTATGAAGTTTTCGTCTCTATAGTTTTATTTATTGTGTTAGAAAACTAGATGTAACACCCTTTCCCATTTACTGATAAGCAGCGTCTGCACCACTAAGCTGTTTCATGTACTCCATACTCCCAACACTGCTAAAATGGAGGACTGTCCCTTCAGAAGTCCAAAAAGTACGAAAATGTGCTGTGGAACTAAGAAACTCCTCTTTCTTCTTCAAAGGAATCAACTACAAGTGACTATTTGCAGCCTATCAGGGAAAAATGGTAGCATTTGGGCAAAAAAAATTTAAAATCTTAATTCCAACAAAAAACACAATAGGTATGAGGCAAAGAAATAGATTGGGGGTGAGGGGGAACGTATTCCTTTTTTCTCCTGAAATCAAGGATTCCACAAAAAGCTGGCTAGGGGAAGAGAAGAAATACAGCTCATGCAAACAGAAAGGATGTGAAGCTCTTGTTTACTTTAAGCTATATAAAGTCTTGGTGGAAGTGATTTGTGTAAAGCCAATTTTAACATCAGGCCTTCAACTTGTATTCCTGGTTTGTATGTAACGGTGCTTTAGTTTTTATCTATAACAAAGCTTTTAAAAAAGGAATCTTGTGATATTTCTGTTACAGGTCAGAAGTTTGGTCAAAACCAGCCCAGCCTCTTTCAGGTGGACTACATCATTCTGGAAAGTCCCCATGCAGACAGATGTCCTTACAAAACCCGCTGGAAGAAGAACCAGTGTCCAGAAGCGTAGTGACCGCAAATGAAGAAGCTCTGCAGAAGATTAGCGCTCTAGAAAATGAACTAGCCACTTTAAGAGCACAAATCGCCAAAATTGTAATCTTGCAAGAACAACAGAACCTGACAGCAGGTATTACATTTGCTGTACTCTTAGCACAAATTGGTTAATGAATTTGTCCCTTTTCTAATTAATAATATGCTAATTCATTTCTGTGAGATACTGCAACACTGAGCACTTCTCTATATTGTCTTGGTTTGTTTGGTAGGCAGACATAGCATACTAACCAAGGGATACAGAATAGGTCTTGAAGACAAGAGACCTGCCAGATTTTCTGTATTTTCTAGTATTCCAAAAGTCTTCACGTTTGTGTGAAAGTCTGCCAGAATTCTGAATCTGTGGATAAGTAAAGAAGTATTAAACAGCTTTCAGAGCAAAGCTCATGATAAACATGATGGATTAAATCGGACTAAAAGAATGTAACTTAATTGCTAACGCTTAAGTCTTCCCATCCAGTAATGAAATAGGGTCTCTGATATCATGAAGTAATCATACAAGATACTAATTACACTTTTGGAATATGTAATATACATCTCAAGTTTATGAAATAAATAACAGAAAAGGAGATTGTTTACTGGAATCATCTCTGGGATCAAACACATTGTCCAGATGGAGCCAAAAGTGGTGCACTGTTTCTGGTAGTAAACAGAATAATAATTCTTTTCCTGAGTTTCTTTCTCCTCTTTTCCTCACCTCTGACCGCCTTCCAGTTCTAAGTCTACCATCTCCAAAGATTAGTGGGAGATGACCCTTGTCAACTGGAGATGACAGCCGTTTGGTTTTCACTGTTTCTTAAGGTCACTTAGCAAGTACAGGTTTTTCCTATGTTTATGTATAAAATCATATTCTACTTCTTAAGATGCTCGTTTAGTTTTTGTCTGTGACACGATAGCATGACTTTATTTTTCCTTAACTGTTCATATTCAAAACTATGAAATAGTTTTAAGGATTGCATGCTTTCACTCTTGAATTGTAATTATTGTGGAGGTTTTGTGAAATAACTAATAGCTTATTTTTCATCGTTTTCCCTTTACCTCTATTTATTAGGAAAATTAAATTTTTATTTGATCATCTTTACCTCCCTCTTCTGGTAGAATATGGTAATGACACTGTGTATGCCTACATGCACACAAAGTAGATTCCTCTGTATTATCTATATACATATCTTTACACACTTTATACTCCAAGCCTCAAAACTCTGGTTCGATCTGGTTTTGCTGATTTCTTTAAAGCTGCATTTGAGCAGAAGTTTCTTCATTTATTTGTCAAGTTATTACTGCTATTATATTTATAACATCAGTTTTTACCTGAAGAGTACAGGGAACTTGAAATCGAGATTGTGGTGAGAATCTTTATCTTCAGAAAGATGATTAGCTGGCCTAAAAATCCTTAACCTCAGAGAGCTGGAATAAGCTTCAATTTAAGCACTATTTGAGCTCTGAAATTTACATTTAAAAATCTTGTAAGGTAATTTCTTATTTGTGATGATAAGTAGAAAGAAACACTGCTCACAGGGCAGACTGTATGTGACTTCCAGCTCAGTACCTGCCTCTCGGAAGAAAGTGAAATACTGGTAACATTAGGAGCAGAACATAATTAAAAGATGTCGTGATATCCAGTAAAGACATGAATGCACCTAGAATTTGAACCAGCAATTCAAAGAACTCCTCTCTCTTCTAGCAGGATTTTTATGTGGCTTTTCAGTTGAGTCTACTTAGGTGGTTTAGGAATGAAGAGGTTATGTGATAACCTAAAGAAGGCCAAGGGAAGGCAATTGAAGCTATTATAGTCCTATTCTTACCTGAGCATTTGTGAGATATAAAGGAGATTTACAAGTAAACTGACATGTAATGCATGTTTTATTTGTAGCTGGGTCAAGTTCAGTTGCTTCAGCTGCTGTCCCTGTTGCACCTCCACCACTGCCACCTCCTCCTCCGCCACCACTCCCTCCTCCCCCGGGTCTACAGCAGAGTATGTCTGCCATTGAGCTCATTAAAGAAAGGAAAAACAAAAAAACAAACTCTGGACAGAATCTGACAGAAAACGGGCCAAAGAAGTCTGAAATACCAAACATGCTAGAAATCCTCAAAGACATGAACAGCGTGAAACTGCGCTCAGTGAAAAGGTAATAAATAAATATCAGTGTATTCACATTTGTGTTTATGATTTGTTTTTATGACTCAGAACTATTTCAAGTTGAGACAGATGCTGATATAACATCTGACAAACAGAATGCAAAAGCATTCACAACTTCTAAAGGTTTGTTTTGGCCTATGTTAATGCTTCTAATTTTCTTTTCTAGATCATCAGAAGGTGCAAAATCTAAAGTGGCTGACCCTACAGATCCTGCCGCATTAATAGCGGAGGCGCTTAAAAAGAAATTTGCTTATCGATACCGAAATGATAGCCAAAGTGAAACAGAAAAAGTGATTCCAAAGACTGAAACAAAGACAAAGACTGAGGTAGTGCTGGTGAGTATTGCGATTCTGAACACATGCTTGGACTAAATTATAGTTGTCGTGAAAGCCAACATATGTCTTTCTGCCAACATATGCAAATACCTACGAGTTACCATCCCTGTCCACAAAACCCTGTAAGTGCTGACGATATGCCAGGATTCGTGGCAACTGTATGTTTTTAGTATCAAGTCTTCAGATTGTGTACTCTTTTGGCCCTAGGTTTAAAAAGCCCTGGTGTAGTTTTCTTATTTTTTTAAACAAAAGTCTTTTCTGTTGCCACGAGCGTGTGATATTCTGAAATCCCAGTTCCTAAGGGCTCATACCAGAAATGAATCTGAACTGAGTTTGCCTGCTCTTACCAACTTTAACCATGCAGATAGCACATGTGAAGTTCTGAAGCCAGATCCTGAAACACGTCATCTGTTCTTGGGAATGCAGAAAGCAAATTGTTGAGAATGCCCACTGGATCTTGGTATAGGGAGTTTCTTCTAATAATTGGAAATGCTGAGTAAATAAAAGCAGTTTCTTTGTAGTGTGAGAATGTTAAAATGAAATTATATTTAAAATTCACATCATGGTACAAGTTAATGGCTTCTAGTTTATTTCAGATGGATTTGAAACTGAAGTAAGGGTTTAAGTGGTGAATGTTCAAGTTGCAAGTTTCTAGCAATATACACTTACTTAAAAAAACCAGGCTAGTATAGATCAGTTTTGGTAGTAAGCGGTCCTTGAAGATTGTGCTATAGAACCAGAGAGGAAGAGTAGAAAGTTATTTTTCCCTTTGGAAAAATGCACATAAAACTCCAAAAGAAGGCAGCACTCTGGATTAAATTCTGAGGAAAATAAGATTCCCAAGCCACAAATCTCAGGACTTCTGAGTACTTCAGCTTATTAATGTTGACTTACTTGCCTTCTGGTTTAGGCCTTTAAGGTATATTTCTGTAACCTTCAGGCTGGTCTTCGTAACTAAAAGGCTAGATATTCCCCAAGAATCAATCACTTTTTTCCCCAGCATCTCTGGAGCTTTACGGAAAAGAACACGAGTTGGCAATGTTTTATTCATACATGGGTTTTTCATGACTGTCCAATTTTGAAATTTACAGCCCATCTTTTGAGATTAAGGATCATCAAGTCCTCAAAAGTTAAGAAAATGGAAGGCTTTAATTTGTTAAATGATAGAATGTTGATCCAGAACGAGCTAATAAACATCTGTCATCAGTTACTTATCAATATGTAACTTCATTGCTAGAGCAGTCCTCATATGGTATCCTTGTATGGTACAGTTTTTAAAAGGACTTGCACAAAAATGCAGGATAGAGTAAGAACAGGAATACCGTTAAACTGCCGCTAGAGCAATTGGTCGTCAACTTCTGAAGATAACTGTGTCTGTCTTCTTATTCTGCTGTGGTGGAGTGAACTCCCTCTAGTCAGAGCTGCTCCAGCAGATGGTTCGCTGCCTCACCTGAGCGATTTCAGCTGATGGCTGACACAAGTTTCCCTTTACTTTGTGGCTATGAAGTGGGTGAAATCCAGATGCAGAGAAGCAGGTTGATAAAGGAAGCTCTCTCTGCCCAAGTTCTAGTTTTACTTACAACTTGGATGGATAATAGTTCAACTAAGTTTCTGTTGAAAGCAATCTGAACATGTTTCTGTTTTCCTTCTCAGTTTGGACCACACATGCTGAAGTCTACAGGAAAAATGAAGACTTTAATTGAAAAATCTTAATACATTAAGATCACTACGCAAAGGACTGTTAAGCTGTTTTGTCTGAAATTTTTTATGTTGCAAATAGCACTAGTACTGACTGGTCTTACAACACAGGAAAACCTAATGTGAAATGTAGAATTGAGGCACTAAACATGTTTGTATGTGATTTATCAAGGGGAATAAATTTGACCGTTATACTCAGGTATTAATTCTGTATTCAAACCTGGCTTTCTACTCAGACTTCTGTGGTGGTTTTAGTTTATTAACACTAAGTTATAAATACAACAATCTTTGTGCATAACTGACCACCTTAAAAATTTGTGTACATGTTAATAATGATAGTGATACACCCTTAAGTTAATATTGGTTATTTGAGCTCTAACTGTAACTTGCACTACAACATTTAGTTTGATACTGAAATTTTCACGTCGAAGTCTTTCTTTTAAACTTAATTTTAGCAAATTTTTAGCCCAAATAAAACCTGAATGCATTCTGCTTCCTACTGAAAGGGAAAACTTAAATCTGCTGCAGAGGTCACTTGGTATGAGACATTTTAAGTAGTAGCACATTTTTGTGCAGGGTTTTGGTTTTTTGGTTTTTTTTGTTTGTTTGTTTGGTTGTTTTTTCCTCAAAGGAGCTTGCAAAGGTAAGAAAGAGAGCAAAACCTACTTTTATCATCCTGTGGCCAACGTAAAGAGTGCATGACAAGTGAGTAACTCATGCTGTGGGAGCCTCTGTGAGTAGGCAGTCCAATGGATTTGAAATAACCAGTAGATAGCAGCAGAGTAAAATAATTAATGTCAGAGTATGTGTTAGCTAGCATAGAAGTGGTGTAGATAAGAAAAAAAAGGTAGGGAGTACTGTGGGGTGCGAGTTGCTCATCTCAGCTGTGCTCAGAGATGCTCACGGACACCTTTTTATCCCCAGCTGTCTTGGGTCCCTGGATCAGTTTCTAGCAGTTGGGGACTGCACAAGCCCTCGTGGCCCTGTTTGCAGGGGAGGGATGGTATAAGCCCTTGCACGTAAGGTCTTTTCCCAGGGAAGCCCTTTGGGGGATTTCCCATAGCAGCTCCTTGCTGCCAGGCCTGTACAGAGCTCGCTCATGTCTCCAGCCACAGGTGTAGAAAGGGCTCAAGCTGAAAATAAAATTCAGGTTGAAAAAAGCTCTTTGGGAACCGGAGAGCTCCACCTGAGCTGCACACTTAAAGGAAGCCAAGGTTTGCTCTGACTGTAGACGAGCATAGAAAAAGCTGAGTCTGGGTATTTCGGTGCTCTAAATTGATCTGGCTGCTGGAACTAGTACAAGTGCCTTGTAGAGCTTCTGTTTGCTAGGGAAAAAAAAAAAGGCAGCACTTGGTAAATAAAGACAGGTGAATGGCTCTGACTTAGGCTACTGAAGATGACTGAAGCTTTGCTGCTTATAACTGGAACGTAGATTGTACGATTGAGGAGGAGGTTTTCTGGTGTGAAACTTGACACGGTGTTAATATGTACACAACGTAGCTTCCTTCCAAAGCGCTCTGCCATCGGTCTTACTGAGAGGCCATTAAATCTTTGTGTTCTTTTAAATGCCTTTAAAACACCTTTTTGAAAGTTCATTTTTGTTTCAAGTTTTGTATTTAATGCTCTATTGCCACTATATAAAATTAAAAGCAGTTAAAATAAACATTGTGTGTGTGATTTGCGGTACTCTACAAACAATAGCAGCCAGATAGCAGCCACAATGTAGTTTACATTTCTGTCGGAGTGACTATAAATCAATGTAGTGACTATAAATCAATGTAGTGACAACTTACTTGCATCTCCTTCAGGACTGGCCTGGAATAACAGTAGAATTAGTCATAGAACAGCACAGCCCTGTTAATTCAGTTACACTCAGATTAAAAAAAAAAAGAGATGGGGAACCAGTGAGAAGTCCATGCCTCAGCACAGACTCAGCAGGACGGTGATCGTTTAACGCTCTCGTACGCTGGCCCTTGGTGTGGCACAACCTCCCCCCTTCCAGCGGCCCACAGCCTCCCAAGAGCTGGCCCAGAAAACCTCTGCTGCAGTCCTCCTCTTCTTTCAGAGACCAAACCTGTGTTTCAACTTGCTTCATTTCAACTCTGACATTTGCAATCATTATTTAATTGGACTGAGTTACATTAACTGTAAAATTCAGGACATCACTTGACCTATTAAACTAGGCTCAAATGCGGGAGGGGGAAAAGCCACAGTGAACATTTACAGTTTGAACTGCTGATGTGAGGTGCAGGTATCCAGCACCCCAGAAATAAACCAACATGTGGTAAGCCTTATTAGTGATGTAAAATTATGGTAAAAGAAATGTCACCTGCACAAGAAAAGAAAAATCACAAAGCTGCCATCAAATCATTTATTTCATGCTGTTCCGTACCTTAATTTGTATCTTTCTACTTGCAATCTTTTACACGCACAGTGCCGCTGCCCGCAGAACGTCTCGAGCAGAGGCTCTCAAACTAAGGCCATTCCCGCACGCTGGGCAGAGGCCGTAGACGCAACCCGAGGCCTGCCTGTATCCCTGCCTGTGTCAGCGAACGCCACGGCCCCGCGGGAGCAGAGCCGCGGGCTGCTTTAACAGTTCGCGGTGGGGACCCAGCCTCCCCCCCCACTCACGTTTCTGGACTCAAGGTGGGCTGACTGGCGCTCGGCGGTTGTAGCGCGTTAGGTACGCTCCTGGCACGCGTACGCTCTCGGCTTTCCCCGCAACATTTACACTGTAGGAATGCTGAAGTTCCAGGTAGATGTCTAGAAGGCATTTCTAGAGAGCATGTTCAAGAAAAGGCATTAATTTTTGTGGTTTGTTTTTTTTTTTTTTTAAATTTGGTCACATATCAGAAGCTTCCACATACACTAATAGGTGGAACTAGAACCAGTCTTTCTAAAATGCAGTCTTGCAGGAAAAGATAGAAGCCCCTTTCCAGGAAAGGTGGCTCAGAACAAAATTACTCATGTTTTACTCTAACACCTTGACCAGCTGCACCGGTTCCTATCAGAGCAGATCGATCTTGCTGACAGCAAGATTGCACAAAGTTCACGAATCACGGGTTGTTTATAAATATTATATTGAAATATTACTGTATGCATATTTGTAAATGCATTCGTTTTAATTTTCATTAAAATGCATATTAAAATGTGCTTATAAATAGCCTGTAACAAGTAGCAAAATTTATATTGCTGTTGAGGCCTTGTCTTTAAGCCAAGTCAAATTTAAAAAAAAAAAAAGTCAGCCACAGAAGACATCAGCAGATACTGATTTTAGTGGTTGCTTTGAAAATAGCTGCAGGCTCGGAATAGGCTTTATTCAAAAACGTCAAAGAGGAATCAATACTTGTCCACACTCGACCCTACGAATCTGCCCAGGCCGCAAGGAAGCCGCTCAGCTGCAGCCTCCCTGTCGTAAGTTACTCACAGAGCCACGAGTTACCCCTCTGTCCTGGCAGCTCCGACCACCGCTGGCAAGTATCGCCCTTTCAAAGGCGACCGGTTAGAATAAGGCTTTTCCGTTACCGCAGGTTGTAACCAAGGCTCGGTATCGCATCTGGTCCTTCTCTCCTGAAGGCAGGCAACAGCAACAACTTGCACCGACAGCAAAGGAAGGAAGTTCACGCAGGTTCAAAAAAAGGGTTTCATTATAAATTTATTTCTTTAAACATGGCCACTTTGAGATTAATGATACTACTTCAGGGAACATGAAAGAATAATAAACAACTTAATTTTAGAAGGGAAACAATCAGGTAAATCAGGATTTGCTTTTCAAACAGTAAAAGGCCAAGCTCTGAGAGGCAGTAAGTTTTGGCATATGAGGACTAGTAATTTCAAATCCAAAAGTTGGCTTAGTTTTACAGTGAAAGCCGACTGCAACCTTAGCTACCTTTCCATAATGCTGGACTCGGACGTAACTTAAAATGTACAGGAGCATAATGTGAAAAGATTTTTTTTATTAATTAAAAGTTAACAGCAACAGGCACATATTAAAATGAATATGGCAAAGCCTTTACAAATGGCTTTACGCTGAAGCTGTCTCCCCAAAATGGCTGTTGCAACAAACTGTAAACAGAATTAATAAACAGTCTTTTACAATAATAACAGGGAAATACAAATGAACTAAAAGAAAGCACCAGTTTCTCAAACTAGATTACAGTTGTGCTTACTGTACTTAAAACAATGTAAAACAAATTACAAAAATGGAATGTTTTAAGTTTAAAATTAGTCCTTTAATTTTGTCCTAAAAAACACCTTCTCCTTTTCCCATCAAAAACCCATTAGTGGGTAATGTTTCAGTAGAGGGAGGAATACGTAAACAATGCACTTTTTTTTATTATTTTTCAAATCAAAAACAAATTTGGTCACTTAGCTTTGTGCATAGTTTAAGGCATCTGTAGCAATTTGTTACAGTTTCCTCCCCAATGTGGCTGTTCATGAAATTGTCACATTCTAAAAGAATAAATTAAAAAAAAAAAAATAAAAATGCTGCCGTTCAAACCCTTCCCGGTACCCTCCCGCCCGCC